CAACCGTTTATCCTCCCAGATGATCATCGTCGTCGAAGAACTTGATGGCCTCACCGCCAACCAGATGTTCGACGCTGTGAATGTTTACTTGGGCACGAGACTCTCTTCATCCTCACGACGAATTAAGGTCCTCAAGCCGGAGAAAGAGCAGCAATTAGACGTGACTATCGATAGGAATCAAGAACTGATTGACACATTTGAAGGCGTCAAATTCAAGTGGGTTTTGGTTTCTTCGCGTGTTGAAAAGCCAATTTCAAACAAGAACCGCGATGCCAGTGCGTTTTCGCGGACTGATGTTAGACAGTTCGAGGTAAGCTTTCACAACAAACACAGGGATATGGCATTGAAATTTTACCTTCCACATATTCTGCGGGAGGCAAAAGCCATTAGAGATGAGAGGAAGGCTGTGAAGCTCCATACAATAGATTATAGTGGTACTGATTATTGGGGTTCAATCGACCTCAATCATCCGGCCACATTTGACACTATAGCCATGAACCCTGAAACTAAGGAGGCATTAATTGATGATCTCAATAAGTTTATTGAGAGGAAACAGTACTACAAAAGAGTGGGAAAGGCTTGGAAACGTGGGTATTTGTTGTATGGACCACCAGGAACAGGTAAATCAAGCTTGGTCGCGGCCATGGCTAACTATCTGAAGTTTGACATTTATGATATGGATTTGAGGGAAGTTCAATGCAATTCGGATTTAAGAAGATTGTTGATTGGCACTGGAAGCCGTTCGATATTAGTAATCGAGGACATTGATTGTTCTATTGAGCTGCAAGATAGGAGTTCTGATTCAGAAAATCGAACTAAATCTGCAGAGGATGAAAAGGTAGGTCCCTGAACCTGAATGAAACTAAATATTTTGTATTTAAAGCTGCATAAAAATGTTGGGTGTTTGTTGCAATCAGGTTACTCTTTCTGGGTTATTGAACTTCATTGATGGCCTGTGGTCGAGCTGTGGAGATGAACGGATAGTGGTGTTGACCACAAACCACGTGGAGCGGCTGGACCCGGCATTGTTGAGACCTGGGCGCATGGATCTGCACCTGCATATGTCTTACTGCGATTTCAGTGGTTTCAAGATTCTAGCACAAAATTACCTGCTAATTCATGAACACTCCCTTTTCGAAGAAATTAAAGAGCTATTAAAGGAAGTTCAGGCAACACCTGCTGAAGTAGCTGGAGAGCTAATGAAAAGTGACAATGTTACGAGTTCACTTCAAAGCCTTAATCGCTTCCTCCATGGCAAGCAGGGGACAAATCGATCGCCAGATTCACGGACAGACACAGTAAAAGCTTAGATTTGCTGCTACTGTTCCCCCCATAAAATCAACTGCAAATTTGATTACAAATTATTTTGCAACTCAATTTTCGGAGTAAAACTGTGTCTCACTCTGCTTTGCTATCTTCTCCATTATTGATGTTGCTCTCTAGTTTCCCTCGCATTTGCAAAATGCGAAAGGGAACCGATTCTTCTCTACTATTTTAGAAAATGAGTGGAGGTTCTGCAGATTTTTTGCTCTAAAATGTACACCGATCAATCTATTGTATCAAACAAAGACTCATACTATAAGAAACTAGATTCGTCAACAAGCCTAACATAGTTCATAGGAGAGAGCACCAGTTTTCTAGATGCACTTGTGGCTCCTCCAAGTACTCGATGTTCTTTACTCTTGACTTCCGTTCGCGTGTTCCAATCAGGGCATATATCTACACATTATCCATTACAGTTCAATCAGTGATTGATCTATATCAACTGTTCTTTTATTTCCTTTTGCTCTATTAAATTACAGTATTAGTGAAGCGGGAGGCAGGATTCCTAAATTTGATGATATGTCCTTGCGGTAATTTCTCGAGGTTAAGGAACAAGAAAGTTTGATTATCAGGATTAATGAGGCAGCATTCACTACTACGATCAACGACGAAGTAGAACGGAATTTTCAATAACTAGAACAACAGACATTATCGGAACTAAATCTACTCAAACACGCTGAGTTTTATACGCAGTTACCACAAAGGGAAGAAAAACAGATTCATACTTACATAGGTTGAGAAGCCGAACTGATCAGGTGAATTTGAAAGAAAATCGTCCTCGGATTTTGATCATGTGCCGAGAAACAAGAACCAGAAACCGTATGTCGTACGCTTCAAGAAACAATCATCGGAGAGACCTTTCAAGTAGAGAAAGCGAGGCCGAGAAACACATCTCCGGAATCCGGATCGGGTTATTTTGCATATCGTCGTGGCAAAACTGTTGTTATTTATACTCGGTTCATTGAAGCACCCGGTTCTAGTCGATTTCCAGCTGTCGTTTCGGAATATTATTTACTCGTCACTCGTGTAATATTACGAATATTCATTATTTATTATCAATATTATTATCGTTATCTCTTATTAATTTTCATTTCTGCAATGTCACTAAGTAATTTCCTCAATATATTCGAGTTATAACTTTTTTTAATCTCGACTTTGATTATGAAATAAGCAAATTAATAATTTCAATACATTTCAAGCAATAAATAATTAATTTACTATTATGAGTAAGTAGTACATTTACAAATAGTGTCCATTACAAATAACTACCTCTGACTAAAATTATAAATTAAATAGTTAAAAAAGTAACAATAAATCACTGGTAATTCAAATAAATAACGTTTGAATTGTTTATTAAGTAACAAACTTTTATTTTTCTAGATAACAAATATTTGTTGTGAAATATATATATATATATATATATATATATATATATATATATAAAAAGCACCGTCCATACATGATTAATGGAAGATTTGTCTTCATTTAGAGGATATGAAGCACTAATTTGAAAACAAAACATACAAATGTTTAATTTGAGTTTCATTTGAAATATTTGTCATTGGAATCTAAATGATGATAATTCGATTTCCAGTTTTCCCATCCCTTGCCTTGGAGGGTGGGTTTATTTATAATTCTCTCCCCTCAAAAACGACTTGAAAGGAAATCATTTCTTAAGAAAGCATTATACTGAAGATATTTGATGTATGACCATTCAGATTAACGACTTAAAAAGTCTATAAGCAGTGACTAAGATATAAATAAGCAATGTTTGTTTCACTGACAAATTAGTCATTGCGATTGTGAAGCATCGAAGGAATTGGTTATGTCATGCATTTCACTTGGAACACATTTGACGACCCGACACCACCAAGTTCTATCTACACATATATATATATATATATATATATATTATAGATATGTACATTCACAGAGTGGCTAAATACATAATACTGAGTAGAAGAGGCAATAGTTTACCGACACGAACCATCCTCGGCCACGAACAATTCCGTTCTATTTACAAGTACACTTTCTCCAGGAGCAACTGAAACAAGTAGTTTTCATCAGTCACCATTCTCTTGTTCCAGGTGGATGAGAAAATATTGAATATAGGAAATTTAAGAAAGATAAGCCATCAACATCTCAGTTAGTACAGGAGAATAATAAGTTTTTCTACCTCTTATGCCAAATTCCTCCTAGCCCGCAGCAGATTGAGCTTGTCCCTCCACTGAGCTGAAATAATCACCAACCGTGAGAACTAAATGTAAATTTCTCAAACGCTGAATAACCAGCCCGACATTAATGGAAAATGGAGCTTTCTTAAGGACTTGTCTAAGCAGACGAACACCTTAGATAATTTTTCAGAACTATTCAAAACACCAGACTCTCTGTATTTTGAAAAAGTATAACACCACAAGGCCATCCCATATAATTACAAAGCAATTAATTATTCTTGGTATTCCAATTTTTCTTATTGTTATGTTCTATTCACACTAACACCAACATGTTCAACGAACTTGTGATAAAAGATTACCACAGCATGCAAGCTTCTGTTCTAAGTCAGAGAATAATTGATTTAGAACATTCATAAATGAATGAAAGTAAAATGATAATCATGGTGTAACAGTTCAATTGATAGAAAATTTTATTGAACAGAAATAGGTACCAGCATCTCTATAGCGCTCTTCGACAGCAGCTATCAGCATATTCCTCACTAGATTAAACTCTTTGGCTTCATCACAAGGCTGACCACTTGGCCTGAAAACAAAAGAAGTCAATTAAACCCTTTCCTCTCGTCAAATGAAGCAGAAGTCTTAAATTGTTATCGATTAATGGGCCCATTATTCCTCATATACACAAAAAGAAAAAGGTGTGAATAGACATAACTTCGTTATGCACAGTTAATATCTTGTATTGTTGTATTTTATCGTTTCATATTCTATCTTAAACGGATGTATGATCATTTAAAATGCCGGCTTATTGATGCAAAAATAATTTAAACCCATAGATAATACTCAGACTATATAAATCATCTATCATTATTTCTTAGGAACAGGGTATTGCCGTCCAGGTTGTATCAATAACCAAATCATGTGTCCATGGTTCTTACTTCTTAGAATCTGTACCTAAGAATGTGACACTTCAAAAGAAAGATTACCGATCCAGCTCAGTGAATAATAAGCCATCTGTAGCAGGGGCCTGGATTGACAGTTTCCCAGTTTCAACAACTCTCATACCATCACTGTATGCTAGATATTTGTTCACTTGAATGGGCACCTGTATCAATTGTCAGAAGTAATATGACTCAGAAATCAGAGCACATAATCAAGGCCAAAAATTTGAAAAACAACAAAATACAACTCAAACAAATTAATAGAAACATCCTACGACCAAAAGCAAATGAACAGATTATCTAACGGCCTGAACAACAAAATATTTCTGCAGTTAGCCAGGCAATTCAATGTCATATTTATCGCAATATCTCAACAATTATTTTAGTGACTTAAAGAGGCACTTTACCTAAGTCTATAATCTTATCAAAGAAAAATTATGCTAAAAAAAAAGTTATGCATAAAACTGTTTAAGTTACCTTGCATCGTACTGCAATGTTTATGGCATCTGAAGGTCGAAGATCAAAGCTGAGACAGTCATTCTCACAGCCAATCTGGATAACCCGAGAATTTTTAAAGTCTTAGACTGACCTAAGAGAGGAGTACATAGTTCAGAGGGAGAAATTAATACATGCCTTTGAGAGGTATAACTGAGCAAAATATGCCTCATGCACTCTCTTGGTAACCCTTACAAGTTTGACCTGCATAGATGAGTAAAATGATCGTTATTAACATCAGAAAGCTGCCACATCCCACCTAGACTTTAAAAATATATATGCTGCAGGGTCAACTAAAAAGGAAAGGTGGAAAAATCT